AATTCCCTTTGTAATGTTATGAATTCTAGGAATTATAGTGCTTGTACATTTTTTTCGCGGGAACAATCCCAAACGTATCCTGAACGCTAAGGCATGACTTACGCAGGTAATATTTGGAAGTTTCGTGTCTCTATTGATTAGTAAACCTGCGTAGGTCATGCCTTAGCGCTCAGGATACGTTTGGGATCGTCTCCGCCAAAAAAGCTAATAATTTATATAAACTTTTGGGCAGTCTCTCGATTTGACCGAACGCGTGTAACGACGTGAGTTTTTTGGCGCGTGTAATGACGGGTTAAAGGGAGTGTGCGCCAAAAAAACAACTTCATCTCAAAGAAAAGAGGAAAAAAATCTAAGAATAACAGTGAAATCCGCACCCCTCTATGACAAATAATACCGCTAATATGGCTCTATGAAGGTACCGCATCTCACCCTATGACGTCACGAAAGCTCAAGCGACGCACGAGAAGGTGGAGTTAATTAAATTTACATATGTTTCTCCTGTGTTACCTGCAATAAGCTAAACAAAAACCACTTACGCGTGCCGGGAACAATCAAATTAACAATGCGGAGCGCGGCTGGAAGAAGTTTTCGTGACGTCACGAGAGCGTCGTCCACACTTTAAAGCGGTATATCTCAGCGATGGTTTATGGTAGAATAACGAGGTTTGAACTGTTATTCTTAGATTTTTTTACACTAAAACTTTAATTTTTGGCGCACACCCCCTTTAACTCAAGTTTATGTGTATTTCGCCGTATTCAAGAACATATTTATTTGAGTGAACGCAAAATTTACTTGAGTTAAAGGATTTCTTTTTTGTGTGCATAATTGTTTACTTTTAATTAAATTTTCTCGATATTCATCATCACAGGTATTATTGAACATATTTTTCCAAGAGAACTTGGCAGCCCAGAGTGTTTAGGTTCGTTTTATTGTTTATGTAGCACATTTTTTGCAGAATACGAAAGAAAATGGGGCTGTTTGAAAATTATCGACTAAAATGCCAAACAAACGAGAAAACTCTGGTGCAAATGCGGAATACGGGCTCAGACTCCAAAAAATATATGCTAAGAAAAATAAACAATAATCAACTGATCGCTCAACCCAGCATTTTTGCACAAGTTTATTTGGCTTGACACGGTGTACTCCCTGAGACGTCACGTTACTCCGTAATCGCTCTGCTCGCTCCGCCGAGCGTCAACCCAAACACGCTCAATATAAGCTATTTTTTTTTACATCCTCAATCAATCTGGTAGCGTAGTGGCACTTCGGCACGCGTGCTGGGAAATTGATACTCATCCTCAATGCTGTCAATTTTCAGTCTGCTGTGCGTGTAGAGTCTGTTTTTTTTTTAAAGATAACTCCCCAAGTCAAAAATTTAGTAACTATGTTGGCAACACAAGCCTTTTTTACATAAAAAATTTGAAAGATTGACAATTTTATATTGCCAACATAATGTCATTTTGACTTTTATCTCAAAAAAAAAAAACAGATTTAAGCCTAGTTCTCATGAAAAAAAACAAAGTATCTGCTACTACGACAAGTAGTAGTATATTCTTCGTAGTGTTTACTTTAAAATGAAATAGGTAGATACTACATTTCGAAACTACCGGAAATTAAATTGAAATTAGTAAATCCTTTGTTGTGAAGTAAATACTTCGTAGAATATACTACTACCTGTAGTAGTAGCAAGTACTTCGTTTTTATTCAGACTACCACCCAATATAAAATCTGTTTTTTTTTTAAAGATAAAAGTCAAAATGACATTATGTTGGCAATACAATGTAAAATTGTCAATGCTTTCAAATTTTTTATGTAGAAAAGGCTTGTGTTGCCAATATAGTTACTAAATTTTTGACTTGGGGAATTATCTTTAAATAAAAAACAAACTTTACGTTAATATTGGGTTTGCTATTAATCCATAATATGCATGAAACTTCATCAAAGAAGCAGATTAGCAGAGGAATATTAAAAAAAGGAAGATGTTGTTCAGAAATATTCTTCTGAAAAGGCATGAACAAGGGGTTTGCCGTAATAATATGTATTTGAAAATAAAACAAGCACACAAGCAAGCAGATCAATTTATTTTTGTTAGGTATTAATTGTTTTATTGTTTTTTGTTTGAGGTTAGTTTATTTGTTTATGTAGAAATCAAACAAAGATGAGAAATGTTTAGACAAAGACAGAAAAAAAAATCGCAAGAAAGTTGAAAATGGTTCAACTTTATTGCGGATCCGCAAAAAAGTTGACGTTTTCCCGCCAACGGAATTATTTCAAAAATTCCGCACCCGCAATCCGGAATTCCGCATCATGAGAACTAGGCTTAATACGGTCACGAACCGTGCGTTCAGTATTTTGATCCGAGTTCTCCGAGCATATTTAAAAAGTGTACTCGGTGCAGGTTCATTCATGTTCGATTATTAAAATGTTGAGCTTTCTGATGCAGCGTTCAACTGCTCTGTGCGTTTGCTGGTCACGTGATTACAGCTCCGCTTTGCACGCTCTGCTCTTCGAGCAAAATACCGAACGCAAGGATAACCTGAATTATTATTTACCGTACTGCGCATGACATAAGTCGGCACGCATCGAAAAAAATTGTAGCTTGCAAGCTTGCACTTCAGAGTCGGCGTGCATACTAGCACGGACTTGATTTGAGGATGCCAACGTTAAACAACATTATCCTAGCAAGCGTGCTGAAGTGCCACTTCGCTACCAGATTGATTGAGGATGGGCCTATTAGACTATCCAAAACACGTGACACAAATATGGCCGACAAGAGGCACACAAACATTTGACACAAACACAAACCATAACGTCATTAGGTTATGTCATTAATGATCATAACGTCACTTTTCTTTTTCTTTTCCCTTTTGATCTTTCAGTTTAACTAGGTGTTTCCTCCCTTCTGTTTCCGGCTTAGATTCCGAATTCCGATAAACATTTTAATTTTTTAAATTGTTTCCTTTGTGTACCTATCGATGACGGCCAGTTTTGGAGAAATACTTATTGATAATTTCCTTTGTATTATTTGAATAAACAAATTAATGTGCGCCAGCAGGATTCGGTTAGTTCGACGTTGTCAGATTGCACGGAAGGAACCCATTCAGGTATACCTTGTCTTCCTAAGTGTTACTTCTTTCATTAACTTCTGATACCCTATTGTGTGTCTTACTTGTTTTGTTCACTATTGTCTCCATGTTATAAGTGCACCTCACTTACGTCACCGAGAGCTGAGTCGGTGGTTGGGTTCGGTAATTGGGGTAATTGCATCTGCGAGCAAAAAGAGTGAATTTTGACGGACGTCACGTGATCACTTATCCACCACTTATCTTTTTTCACGTGACATCTGTCAAATTTTGCTCGCAGATGCAATTCCAATTGACCTGTCTCGTAATACCTGAATCGGCGCGCGCAGCCTGTGGTAAGCAGGTGAAAAAGTGAAGTTTGTTACGGGTTTGCGTCATATTTCTTTATTTCTATTCAGGGGCGAATTCAGAAGCAATCGTTCCTCCTTTTTTGTAACGTGTAATTCGACAAAGACCAAACTAATACTTTACGTATTACTTGAACTCACCGCAGTTTCGTTTAAGGTTATGTTAGATTGTACTTGACATATTCCTTTGCAATTGTATTGTGCTGGTTGCCAGATGAAACATTTATCAGAATAAAAGTGTAAACGATGATAACATACACTTTAAAGTTCTTTTTTTGTCTGATTTGAGGCGTTGTAAAACACTTGACACTATATCACTTCTTTAATGTTATAATGTTCGATTTGTATTGTCTACATTTGTTCTGCAACAATACAATTTGGCTACACTGCAGCCACGAGTTGCGCGCGCATGTCATCTTTCATTACTTTCTAACTTGTATTTATTACAATTAAGCTCTTTTTTTCTATCTCTGCGAGGCACATCAATTACCGAATCCAGCCGGGATTCACCGAGTTTCCGTTGCCCCGTTTCGATGGAACTTTTGGGGCGAGTTCACAATAGAAATTGAACTCTTGACTGGGGCGTGTTCACAATAGCCGGCAGGACGTGTTCACAATACCGCCGGGGCGTGTTTCGGGCGCACTGCAGCCTCCGGTTGCATGTTGAATTAGCGTAAAAATACTATCCTTTCTAAATTAAAATTGTTGTAAAATAGTATTTAATTACCTACTCGGAAACTTGCCTATTGTCTAAGATTTTTTTTTTTCACTTATATATTTTGGCGCCCCTGTGCCAGCTGCGCCCAGGGGGGGAGGCTCCCACGTCTCCCCCCCTGTTGGCTACGCCCCTGGGGGTGATAAGAATTTACCATCTTATTACCGGCCAATATCCTTACTGCCAACTTTGACTAAAATTGTAGAGTGGCTAATTAAGGTGGATGGTGAGCTCCCTTGATAGACATAAATTGCTTTCTCTGTCTCTGTTTCAGCAGTCAAAAAACACTGATGATACCATATTTCATCTCCTGGATGAGCTGTATTAGAAGATAAATGACGAAGAAGTGGCCGCGGTAGTTTTTTGTGACCTGAAAAAAGCTTTCGATTGTGTCATGAAGTACTGCTTCTAGGGGTTCAGTACTTCAGAGGGGTTGGATATCACTGCAGAAGTGACCTAGGGATCTGTTCTATTTCTAACATTAATAAAAATACGAGTAAAAAGAACGAGTATCAAAACACAAATGAAAAATGAGCACTATTTTTTTGAAAAAAATTTGATGACGCATTGAATGACACATAAAAAAAGGGTTTGTGTGCCTCTTGGCGGCCATTTTAATTCAAGTTTGACAGCATCTTGGATAGTTCAATAGGGTGGAGAGAGTGTCGTATCTCTTATCTAAAGGTGCGTTTTCACGCTCATGCAATTTGCGCAAATTGATTTGTGCATGCACGATTTTGCACAAATTGCATGAGCGTGAAAACCAAAATCTTGCGCAAGCCAAAAAATTTGACTTGAGATATGTTCTATACCTGGTTGTTTTTGACAAGACAGTTATTATTTTTTAAGTGTCAAGTTGACCCTTCAAGATGGAGATCATGGAAAAATTGGGTGAGACTATTGCATGTTAGATATAAGTTAGGTAGAAATATCTAAATATCGATTTTCAAGACTCCAACGATGATCCAGAATGGGCCATTGGTGCAAAAATGTTCAAAGGAGACGAGTCCGACGAATGGAAAAATCGCCGGGCCATACCTCTAACTGAAACATCTTCTTTTTTACGAGCGCATGATTCAGGGGGCATTCTCAATACCCAAAGAGAAGAGGACCACACCAGGATATTCGCCTCGCTAGTCCCTGATGAAGTTATTTATCACATCCAGGATTACACCAAGAGAACCTTTGACGCCTGTTTACTCTTCGGAGATGTGTCAGGATTTACCGATTTATGCGAAAAATATAACAAGACAGGAAAAGGAGGTCCCTCAAAGCTCACCCAGGTGCTCAATAATTATATTGGAGCCATGGTCCAAGAAATCTTATCCCATGATGGTGACGTTTTCAAGTTTTCTGGAGACGCTTTTATAGCTTTGTGGAAGGTCACTGAAAATTTGTCCATGAAAGATGCTGTGCATGAAGCTATTGATTGTTCGTTGGTGATCCAGAAGAATTATGGACGGTACCAGGCAGACCAGGATGTCGTCATCAGAGGTAATATAATCACGTGACCGAAAACTCCATCTCATTGGCTAAAGATGATATTCATGCTTTTGTTGCCTTTTTTTATAACGTAGTTAAGGACGAACATAGTCTCTAGGTGGTGAGTTGTGTGAGATGTACTAATATGAAATTTGGCATCCTCGCATTTTTCTTGGTTTTCGAGTTTGTGACGTCACACGCGGTTCCAGGGTTTTCGCGGCAGTTTAAAAATTCGATTTTTAAATAATTTTATTTTCAAAAATAAGCGTTTTTTTTTCAAAAAAAAAGTTTGTGAAAAATGTGAAAGTCGCCCATTGTCGAAGTTATGTTTCCAGCCAGTTTAAGCTCTTCTAATTTCCTTAATTTTCTATTACTCAGATTAGATTGTGTTTAGGTGATGGACCTCTAGTAGGTTCCCAGGTTCAGACTTTTCGCGAATACCACGATTTTTCCGGGATTGATTCGTTTAACATCCGTAGCAGTCAAATGTGTCTGCTCCAGTTGGATGAGTGACGTAGGTAATGCTTCGCATTTTTTGACTATATGCTCGGCAGATTGGGATGCTTCTTTGCAGAAGCGGCAAAGGTCTGATTCAGCTTTACCCATCTTTTTCAGGTGGTAGCCAAGAGGGCAGTGGCCGGTAAGGAGCCTTAAGTGCTGCTGTTAAGAGCCTTAAGTGCTGCCTAACTGTCAGAATTGATGAAGATTCTTGCACCTCGTAGGTCTATTTTAAGACACTTTCTGGCGCAGAGTTCTATTGCGTACGTTTCCGCTTGGAATATGGTGGGGCTTTTTCCTAAGGCTACCGATAGCCTGCAGTTTGGACCATATACGCTTACTCCGACCCCTTCTTCTGTTTTCGATCCATCTGTGTGCCAGATGGATGGACCGTTTGGGAATTTATGTACGATCTTGTCACTTTTGCGGCCTTCTGCGGTCACACTAAAAAGGTGATTAATTTCGTATCTAGGTGGCATGATGTCCACCGGTTTTGTTGGTGTACCATGGCATTCTTTAATGATGCTCATATGTCCAACAAGGTCCCCTTCCTTTAGGTTTAAAGACCGTAAAATCCTTGAAGCTCCCATGTAGGCCTCCCTCCTCACTGTAATGTGCAGGGGATGATATCTAACATGAGCTCTATAGCAGCGGTTGGACAGGTGTTCATGGCACCTGTTATTCCAAGACATGCACACCTTTGTACAACTGCCAATTGGTTTTGCCCTGTCTGCTGCTTCACTTTTGGTCACCACACCAATGCAGCATATGTGAACAGGGGTCTTATATTCATCGTATATAACCAATAGATCATTTTTGGCTTTAGGCCCCATGTTTCACTGAATAGTCTTCGGCATGTCCAGTACGCTACTGTTGCTCGATCGATTATTCTTTTCAAATGTGAGTTCGAGGTGAGCTTTTGATCTAGGACAACGCCCAGATATTTGACTTCTCTTGAAAGGCCTGCGCTTTCAACTTTTTAATCTAGAGCGCCATGAATTAGTTAAAATGTTTAATTTTGCTCCAAGGAATCTGGGAAAATTTGTTTTGATCTTATTTTTTTATTTTATATCCTCTACAGACTCATTTAAAAATAGTAGAAGTGCATTTTGGTAATTATCTCAATTTTTTCAAATGGAAACGGTGTGGCTCATCACAATATTCCAAAAAAGCGTTTTCTAACGAGTAATTCAGTACCACACAATCGCTAGTTCATCACTCAAATGAAGAATTTTCCTAGCATTCTAAATATTTTTGGAAAATTTTAGTTCAATATTTGAATAAACTAGCGATTGTGTGGTACTATAGGCTTTTTACGCTATATTTAGGATGACGTCACATTTAGTAAATTTCTGCTGCCAACCTAACATAACTAAAAGTTCTTTTCAACGCATTTAAAGTAGGGCAATTTCAGATGTTTTTCGTTGGCAACGGCGCGCGACGTTGCATGATTTATATGAACATTTTCAAATAATGCGTGTCAATTCATTTCGTTATTTTTAGCTGTCAGTCGTCTTGATAATTTATTATTAACTATTTTGTATAATCCTAATTAAGTGCCAAAAATACGTTACAGTTAGAAAAAAGTTCTTTCAAGAACTTTGTAGCGTAAACTTACTCAGAAAATGCCAGCAGGTTTGTCGAAATTGGCCTCAGGAAAGGGTAGTATACTTGATAAGGTATTTCCAGCAGGAACGCGACCATTTTTGCTTCTTACTGCCTGCTGTGAGGCATGTAAGTAAATTACCTATTTTCCGTTTCGTTTGACAGAAAAGACCCATCTATTTTTACCTGGTATGCACGCGCAACATGAGGCAAGTCTTTTTATTAGCTAACTAGTACAGGTGTGAAGTGTTCGTTTTGCACGCTGGGCATTTCCTTATCCTTGTTCATTGCTCGTGGTCTGACAAAAATAAAAGTACGGTTGATATTGAACTTGACATAGCTTGACAAGTGACACTCAAAAGTAGTTTGAAATTTTCATTCATAAATACGTTGCACAACACGCGGTTTTTCTTCTTCTCTTTTTATCCCGTGCAAATAAGGAGGACGGATTGCCATACGTAAGTTTAACAAAATTTGGTACATTTTGCCTCGTCTTGCGCAATGAGCGTTCTGTGTCTTTTTTTATCTAATGAAGTTTTCGTATTATTACCTCTTTGTTTAGTAAAATAGATAAGTCTACTGTCACGAGACATTCTGATGGTAAATTATAAGAAAAAAAATAGGCATTGACAACATTGTCTCTTTTTGTTCTGTGACGTCATCCTAAATATAACGTAAAAAACCTAAAGTTTGTTCGTTAGAAAATGCTCTCTCGGAAAATGCTAATAAGCTATATCCTTTCCATTTGAAAAAATTGATATAATTTCAAAAATGCGCTTCTACTATCTTTAAATGAGTCTGTTGAGGATATAAAATACAAAATAAGATCAAAACAAATTTTTCCAGCTTCCTTAGAGCAAAATTAAGCATTTTAACTAATTCATAGCGCTCTAAATAAAAAAGTAAAAATTTAAATAATTTGGAGATGAAATGTCAAAAAGTGACAAATGAAGTGTCATTGTACTCGTAATGTGGTTTTCTATTGAAATAGGAGAAAATATACCTGGCGTCTCATTTAAAATAAGAAAGTTCTGGTCAATTCCGGTGAAACCGGAAGTGATAGTAAATAATTGAATACGTCAAATAATGCACATCCGGGACATAAATAAACACACCAAATTTCATTTGTTTATTTGGAAAAATAAAAAAGTTATAGGGGTGAGCGGGTTTTGAAAAACACCCGGTATACAAGAAATAGAGTTTTCACATCCTGCATAAGTTTTTTTTTTTTTTTTGGATTGTCAAGTTTTTTTCGACTATATCTCGCGAATTACTTAACCTATCACAAACTCAAAAACTGTTTCAAAATTAGAGAAAAAAGCACATATTTTGAAGCTTCTTTTGGTAAGAAGTACCTACGGTCTAAGTTTATAGCTATGGTTCAAAGAAAATTGAAGAAAACCAATTCAATTTATTTTCCTATATATATATATTTTTTTTGACAGAAATACTACCTGTCAAAATGGTTTTAAATTTTTATTTCATTCTTTAGTCCAAAACAAAGGTTTGTTTTTTTTACTTGACAAAAATCGGCTAATAAATAAGAAAGTTACGATTTTTTTCAAGAATAGCACCAGCCGCCATCTTTAATTCATCATGGCGGAAAAAGCAAGCCTCCTAAGAGGTGTAACTTTTTTTTACAGAGTACTATTGATGGATACTATCATCTGTGAAAAAATTAGCTTGATTGCAAAAACTTCTCCTATTTATGCTAACTGCCCTGGTCTATAATGATCCTATCATGCTTGCCTCTAATGATGACTGCAACGTCATCAGCATATTCTAGGACCCCAAATCCATGGCCACTTAGTATGTTTAGAAGTTCATCTATTACTATGGACCATAGCAGTGGGGATAATACACCTTGAGGGCAGTGGCGGCTGTGAGAGGAAAAGTTGGCGGTGCACAGATTCAGGGGGGAAGCCCCAGAAGCGCGCAAATTTTTTTGGATTGACCCAAACTAACCCAAATTTTGATCTAAAAGTTGTACAAAAAACACGCCTCAGAAAGTTTTTTCACTAATTCTCAATTCAAACGTGGGCATTTACCATTTCTACAAGACAATAAATGAAGCACGGGCGGAGTACACTTTTTAGTTCAATTTACTATAAAAGCGTGTTTTTTAGTTTTTTTAAACTATATTTATTTTTCACTTTTTAGTTCGATGTATTATAAAAGCGTGTCAGCCCCAGAGATTTCCAGACTTTTCCAGACATTATCCAGACTTATTCAGAGCTTTCTAGAGTTTTCCAGATTTCATTCAGATTTATCCAGACTTGTACAGACTAATCCGGATTCTGGAAAATGATCCCCAGGTCTTTTGGGACCTTTTTCAGAATTTTTCCAACCCTTTCCAGAAATTTCCAAGTCTTTTCCAGACGTTTCCAGAGATTTCAAGACTTTTCCAGACAATATCCAGACTTATCCAGAGTTTTACAAACTTTATCCAGACCTTATCCAGACTTGTCCACACTGATTCGGATTCTGGAAAATGATCCCCAGGTCTTTTGGGTCCTTTGCCAGAATTTTTCCGACCCTTTCCAGAGATTTCCAGACTTTTCCAGACTTCATCCAGATTTATTCAGACATTTTCCAGACTTGTTCCAGCTCACTTGGCTTGTTCCAGGTTCTTGTTGTGTGTTGTGTGTTAATTAAATTGCCGCAAAAACTAATCCGGGCCGTTCGATCAGGTGGCCCCGTTTATACGTATAAAAACAGCTAGTTACAGGGAGCGCGGCGTGACCTTCTCCAACGTAATTGCCGTGTTGCAGCGGGGCCGTTGTGAAATGGGCTCGGACGGATAGTCCAGCGAGTTTAGTTTAGTCAGTCGCTTAAATTATTGTCTAGGAAATTTACGAATAAAAAACGACAGAAATTTTTCCGTCGGGATCAAATTATAAAATGATAAGTAATTTGATCTGATGATTGTAATAACTATTGAACTAAAAAAAAAAAATATTTTAAAAGGACCGACATATTTTGCGCCAGTGCCACGGCCCCTTGGCCCCTTAGGGCCAGCCGCCACTGCTTGAGGGCACCCCTTGACTGCTAGGACCGTCAAGAGTTGCTTTGATTTTCCTATCCTGTAGCATGGTTTCAGTCCATGTGATTGTAGTGTCCTCAAAGCCTTTGTTTTTTGCCGCCTCTCTTATGGACTCATAAGAGGTGGTATCAAATGCACCCTCTATATCAATGAATGCAAAGAGAGCGGTTTCTTGGTGGGAGTGTGCCTTTTTAATCTTATAATTGACAAGGTTGTGTAGGGCTGTCTCCGTTGATTTGCCTGCTTGCTAGGCATATTGGTTTTTGTGGAGCGATTTATCGGTTACGAATTCGCTTCTTATATGTATATCAATGATTTTCTCCATGGTTTTGAGGAGAAACGAGGTTAGGCTGATAGGTTTGAATGATTTAGGCTGTGTTGTGGGACGTTCCCCAGCCTTTGGAATAAAGACCACATTTACTTCCGCCAGCTGGTGGGAAACTTAGTAGGTAGCTAGCTTTGAATATTATTGCTAGTGGAGCTATAAGTTCTTCTAAGCCTTGTTGTAGGAGAGCTGGAAAAATTCTGTCTTCTCCTGGTGATTTGTAGGGCTAAAAATTGTCTATAGCCCATCTTATTTTGTTTGAGGTGAATATTTTTCTGGCCAAACTTTTTGTTCGGTTGCTTGGGCGTGAGATGCCCTTAGCCACCGAAGCTCTGTTGCTGTTTAGCTCACACTCTACAGAGCCTGCGAAGTGCGATTGTAGGAGCAGTTTCACACTCTCTAATCTACTCCCTGTGTAACTGCCATCAGGTTTTTGCAATAGTCCAATGCCGTTTGAGTGGTCTTTTGCAAGGACTTTCTGGACTTGCATTGTCTGAGGGATGTCAGTAATCTCCTCACAGAAATTCCTCCAGTATTTCCTTTTAGACCTTCTCAATTCCTTGTATTCAGTTAGGGCAGTTCTATATTCGCCCCAGTTGTTGGTGCGTTTTGCCCTATTGAATAACCATCTTGTTTCAGCTCTAAGGGAACTGAGAGTCTGGTTCCACCAGGGTGTTTTTCTATCTACGACCCTTTGTTTCAGAGGATAGCTGTTCTTATGGGCTTTTATTATTAGAGTGTTTATTTCGTTCGTGATATACTCTAACTCACCCTCTGTTTCTATTGCGTTGGGGTAATCGGTTACTTCTGCTTTTAGAAGGTATTTGTATAGACCCCAGTGAGTTAGTTTTGGGTTTCTATGCTCGAGAAGGCGTGTCTTTGTGACCTCTATATCGAATCTTATATGTTTATTATCCGACATCGAGATTTTGTTAGAGACGTGCCAGTTTTTAATTTGGTTGCCTATGTGTGTGCTTGCCAAGGTTAAGTCTAACACTTCTTGCCGCACACTGTTTACAAAGGTGGGTTTGTTACCATTGTTGATAATATCTAAGTCATTAGAGAACAAATATTCAATAAGGTACTCACCTCTCTGTTGATGTTTGTGCTGCCTCATATGAAGTGGTGTAGTAGTAGTGCAGTAGGCCATCCCGAAGTTTTCCCTCTTCAGGTTTTCATAGGACCGTTGGTCTATGGAAATGGTTAGCTGAGCAGAGGACCTCTCGATCACTTTGTTGAGAACCCTCCAGTCCTCAACGCTCAGTCCTTTGTTTTGGCATTTGAGAAGACCAAGTATTTCCTCGTTGGGGGTATTTGCACTATTGGGAAAGTGTCGCACAAGATTTGCGGCCGAGGAATTCTGGATTCCTCCATTGCCCTCAGTGAAGCCCCATCCCAGGGCTTTAAGGTATCCGCCGTTTGGAATAGCCACTTACTTGTGTCTTCATCCTCACAGGTGATCACTACGAACCCTGGTTTGAAGGTGCAGGATAGGAACTTGGGTTTTACAACCCCATCCTTTTCCTGCAAATTTTTTTGCAGAAGTGCAGCCTGGAATCAAATAAATTACTCGAAGAAAGGAATTTTTTAAACATTTATTACGAATGTACTTAATACAATGAGCGATATAAATAGAATTGATTTTTAGTGACATCCTCTCACTATTTATTGATTAATCAATTCACGCCGACTGTGTTCGGCTAACGTCGGATTGAGGGTCCACGGTGGGTGGATTGGTGGCTAACGGTTGGAACCGTACGTCGGGTGAATCGAGTTTGGGCTGATTACATAACTCTTCCCCCCTTAGAACGGAGCGTAGGGCAGCGACGGTTGGCTTTGGTCCTATGAACAAGCGGTGGATTCGCTTGCGTTTGATAATTCGGGCAGAGTGATTCTTTGAACAGCCTCTAGATGAGTGCCTCCGGGTATGCGGATTTCCTCTAAGTTAATTTGGAATGACGGCGGTAGTTCTGGCAGGGCCACTTGCGGAAGCTGATACGGCAACGGGTCAACACTGCAGTTGCGGTTTACAATGTACATGTTACATTTCCATGAAGTAGGACATCCAATGGTCGCGGGATCTCTATTTGTAATGACAACAAAGTTCTGCGTAATCTTGTAGTAGTCCATTGTATGAAGTAGTTTGACGTGCAGACAACTTTTTATTTGTTGATCGAAACTGCAATTGCTTGGTCTAGGATTACTGCAAATATATTTTGTTTCCTTGTGCAAGATGCACTTATCATACCAAACTTTATTAGAGTAAAATTCAGTAGGATTAAGTAGCATTGTATCATCCGCTCTTGGAAGTGGGAAGATCTGATAGAGTGATTGAACTTGTGGCTTTAAGATTGGTATCTTTAATATAAGTCGAAGGACCGAATTATGCATGTATGTAATTATGGTTGATTGTTCTAATAGCTCATAAGGATGGTTTATAGCAGCGGTTCCCAAACTGGGGGGCGTGCCCCCCTGGGGGTCGTGAAGCAACATTGAGGGGGGCGTAAGTCTTCTAAACAATTAATACAAATTTTAAGCTTTAAAATAAAAAATCAGGTGAAATTTTAAAAAAGATGTCTACAATCCTACAACAGCGCATACATAAGCCAAAGCAGCTTTGCCATGCGATCTGTTACTGTATTCCTTTTACCCATTGAGTTACTCGGAGCTGCTTAGTGTCTCGGACACGAAGTCACAAAAATCCTCTAATTCCTTATTCTGTTTACATTTTGACAGCTGAATTGAGTGATCTAACCCAACTTTTTTTTGCTTGTTTGCCAACTTTTATTTATCCTGAAGATTCCTGAGTTTCAATAATTTTTCCTTGGTGTTTTTTATCGAGGAAATATTAGAAGTTGCTGTTCTTACAGACGTAAATGGTGCGTAAACTAATTTTGACATAGCATAGCGTTACGGTAAGGCATCCGCTAACGCTAATACAGTAAGAACTGTCATACTTGTCAAATAACGTTACGGTATTTGAAATTTTTCTCTAATATCTGAATTATTCTGAATTGTGTGTTTTGGAGTGACTCCGAGGAGCTCTAGAGCGACACGTTCGGTATAACTCGATGTATAAAAGGAATACAGTAATTGCTACAGCGCACGCTCGCTGCCCACTGTCATGTCCATTCTTCCTCTGCCAAAGTCCAGTTCAGAGGAGTTACAGTAAGTAAAAAAAAAATGTTTTTGTATAATGGGGGAAGGAAGGGGGGCGCAACCACTTCTTGATTTCAGAAAGGGGGCGCAAAAGAAAAAAGTTTGGGAACCACTGGTTTATAGAGTATAGTAGTTGGTCCTCATGATAAGTCTCTAACAATTTAGTCTCTATAAGAGTGACTTCTTGTATCTCGAAAAATTCAATATTGACCAAATTTAGACGAGAAAGGCTAATTGTGAGAGTAATTTTTCGTAAGAACTCTGCTAACAAAGCTATGTGATCGATGTACAAGTTAGCAGAAATTAGATCATCAATCTTTTGGTTTATTTTATTTAGGGCTGACTTCGCAAGAATCAAGTCATTGTTTATTTGGGCGGTAAAAGATAAAAGTCTGTCGTTTATGTTATTTGCGACATGAATGAATTTATTTTGTGTTGTTATTATGTTATTCTGATTCTCCTCAATGTTAGCAAAATGACTTTTAATGATATCTAAATCATCATTATCTGGGTTACCGTTGATAAATTTGATGACTGAACCTAATCCGTTAATTAGTCCACGTTTACGTCGGTTATTTTGATGTCGGGTTAGCACTTCTTTTAGATGTCGGTTATACAAGGGCTGTAAAAGTGGGTTAATGTGTGTCTGATTTGGAATAGGGAGTTCGTGTATTATTTCTTGAAAGGGTTGCAGGTCAACTGCAATAAGAAATCTATGATGATGTGATATTTTTCTCTGAGTTCCAATCTCTTCGGAATAGTAGCCGTTATGGTCATCTGTTAAACATTGCACCCTTTGTGAATGGGTAGAAGGAGTTAGGGCATGCACTGCCAATCTGTAACAAGGGAATTATTTAGTTTTTCTTAAACGTTTAAGGGACTTAACATTCATTTTAAGAGGTTTTTGTCTTGAATCCTTAGCTTGAATGGTATTTCCGGTTTGTTGATTAACAATAATAGGTTTGCTTAGGGATAATTTGTTATATTTTGCTTTAAAGCTGGAATATTCCCGAGAATTTTCTTGTATGTCAGGAGTAGAGTCTTGTCTATTTTTATTTGTCTTGTCCAGATTACTGATCATTCTAGAAGATGTGTTTCTATGTACATGATCAAGAAAAGGTTGCATTTCCATTTTTCTTTGTTGAACGTAATAATCATATACAGGGAAATCCTCATCAAAAGCGGGTGTTGTAGCGTAAGGTCCATATAGTATATTGAAAGGGGTGTGACCAGTAGAAGCATGAATACTTTGATTGTATATTGTCACAGCGGTGATAACTAAATTGTCTACGGCTTCTTTTGGAGATATTTGTATAAGTATTTTTAACTTTTCTGTAAGTGTGGAATGAAACCGCTCTATAGGAGAGTTGGAGCTTGAGTTTCCTATAGCGATTGTGTGGTGTTCTATTCCATGTAATTTTAAGTATTCTCTGAATATAACGGATACGAAGGCCGGCTCATTCTCTGTGACTATCTTTTTCGGAAAGTTATGATGAGCAAAGAAGTGTCTCATTTTGTTTAGAATCGACGGTGTGGTTTTATCAGGGATATGGTATACTTCAGCATATTTACTAAAGGGATCTATCAGGGTTAAAAACATATTTCCTTTTACAAAATAAATATCAGCATGAATGTTCTCCAGAGGCTTTGTAGGAAGTATTGGCCCTTCAAAAGGGACCTTGTAGGGTCTTCTTTCGTACTGCGCTTGTTGACAAATATCACATTTATTTATAAAAATGGTGATTTTGTTTTTTAAGTTAGGGAAATAGACTATTGATTTTAAATGCGTGTATGTTTCCGAGATACCGTTGTGGTTTTTGTCATGGTAGGATGATTGTACCTTGTTGTTCGTCTTCATCTATTATGTCAGCCAGTTTAATTTTTGTCAAACGTATATCAAATTGAGTACCCCCTGCACCAGTGGTCTAAGTTCGGGATGGTACAGATAAAGCCCATAGGTTGTAGCGGGAAATGAGCAAGAATGTCCTCGTTGAACATGAACATGAACATGAATATGTTTGTCAAATCTTTTGACTAAGGAGCACAGAACATATCACCTCTAGAAAAGTATCTGCAATGGTATGTACCGGTTATGAATTACGGCGCCCTCGTTGACTCAAAACCCAACTAATCGAGTATTCTTGACAAAAAGGCGAATTGATTTTTTTCATATATTTTTATTATTTTTGTATAATTTTTAATGTTCAACTGCATTTGGCTTGCTGACTCCTCTTAGCTCTTTTCGCCTAATTTTTTTAAAAACTATGACTGGCAGGAAGTTTCCGATGTCGAACATAGTGCAAAAAGAGTTAGTAAGTTAGCAAGAGACACGCAGTTATAGGTAGATCGCAAAGCAAATACGAATAATAAATACAAATACGAACGAAACGAAACAAACGAATAAATACAAAAAAATACGAACAAAAATTAGGTTTTTTTTCAACCAAAACTTTTTGAATTTTCACTTTAAACGCGTGGGGACCATGGTTTACAACAACACAATTTAAAAATTCAAATTTTGACTTGTAAAATGACAAAATAAATGACAAAACCAACCAACACAAATCACTGTCCACACCACAGATACCTGTAAATTTCTCTTATCTCCCGACAGTGTCGCCATCGTTGAATGAAAACCTAACTAAAAACCTTTGTCGCGATTCTTCCATTTGAGATATTTTTCTATAGGTGATATGTTCTGTGCTAAGGAGTACTTGTTTTTGACGGTATATGTAATTAAAATTTGATGTTTGAAAATATTAACTGGTTTTTCTGAAATGGTTAATCCACAGGAGATGTTTTCGTCTTGTTAATGCACTGTATTGTCGTCCGTAGGGCATTGTTCGGGAAGAGTGTTGTCAATTGCCATAGGGGCCAAAGCATCGGTTTCGTCCTTGTTGTGTATGTTTATTTCTACACGGGAAAGGGCATCTGCGACTTTATTAGCAGCTCCTTTAAGATGCTCAATATCGTACTCGTATTCGTCTAATTTAATTTTCCATCTGATCAATCGCGAATTAAGAGTTTTTAATTTACTTAACCATACTAATAGTTGGGGAGCTGGCGTCAAAAACATGCAAGAGTTTTCGCAAGGCGGATATTTTCAAAATAGGTCGTACTTTAGTGTTAGAATGCTAGTGTACAGTCAGCACTCACAGTTCCGGGACAGCTGGCTCTGGGACGCGGGCAAAGTTGTAATTTTAAGAAGCATCTAAACTGTTTTCTCAAAGCTCAAAATTTATAGAAATTTTGCACATTATCTGTTTGAAGGTCACAGATAACGTATGTAAATCGGCAGACGTCTAGTTCATTGCAAAAAGGGGGTCAGACGTCCTCAAAGTTTTAATTTTATGGCATTTTCTTCAAATATATTTGTCAAATACCTGCAAAAATATATTTTGACAGGACACCGAAGAAAATGCCATAAAATAAAAACTTTGAGGACGTCTGACCCCCTTTTTGCAACGAACTAGACGTCTGACGATTTACATACGTTATCGGTGACCTTCAAACAGATAATGTGCAAAATTTCTATAAATTTTGAGCTTTGAGAAAACAGTGATGAAGCAATTAATGTTTTGCATTGTTGAAAAGCTTTAACATAAAATGGATCATTTGGGTCTATTTTTTCACCTTTTCGAGTACATTTGTTTATAGGATAAACTATTTGAGCGAAGTTTGGGAAAAATCGTCTGTAGTACCCTATTAGACCTAGAAAAGATTTTATTTCTTTAACGTTAGTGGGTATAGGATATTTTTGAATTGCGTCGATTTTTTTTGGATTAGGGGAAACTCCCTGAGGAGTGACTATATGACTCAAAAATTCAACTTTTTTTGTAAGAAATTCACTTTTAAAAGGCTGAATTTTAAGATTGGCTTTTGTAAGATCGTCAAATAGTATATTGTTGTATTAGGAGTAGAAGCTCTACTTTTTTGTGCTGAAGCAGTAGGTTTGCGAGCCAAACGTAGTGAGGCTTGCAATACTGCTGAAGCACAAAAGAGTGCTTCTACTCCGTATGCAACACACTATTTTTTCTCCAAACGAATGGGGTAAGCTCGGGGGTAACTGAATGGTTGAGCGGCAGTAAAAGTACGAGCGGCACTAAAAGTATTTTTGCTGCCGCTCCAGCGGCACTAAAAGTACTTTTGCTGCCGCTGGGGTTGCCAAGCAGCATAGAAATTAAATTTCTACCACCTCGACAGGTGTTAACCTGCTGGATTTGCCTACCAGCATAGAAATTAAATTTCTGACATCTTGACAGGGGTTAACAAAGTGACGTTTTTTTGACATTTGGAGAAAAAATTAGTTTTATGTCGTTTATATGTTTTTGTAAACTTTTAGAAAAAATAATAATGTCGTCGAGATAAACAAAACAACGTTTATAAATATGCTTGCTCAATACTTCATTCATGACTCTTTGGAAGCTGCTGGGGGCGTTTTTAAGACCAAACGGCAGTCTTGTGTACTCAAAATGTACCTGCGGCGTCGTAAAAGCTGCTTTTTCAATGGATCGTTCATCCATTAAAATTTGATGATATCCCTGAGATAAATCAAGGCACGAGAAATATTGCGATTTACCTAAATTATCTAAGGTTTCGTCTATACGTGGTAAAGGGAATTTGTCTTCTATAGTTTGTTCGTTTAACTTGGAATCATTTATTACCATTCTAACTTTTTTTTTACCTGAGGCATCAGGTTTTTTGTCTACTATCCAAGCGGGACTAGAATAGGGAGAAATAGAAGGGCGTATTATTTTTGCGTCTAATAAGTCATTTACTTGTTTTGCGATACCTTCTTGAATACTTTGAGGATGTCTTAATTTGGTATACACCGGTGTTTCCGTAGTGGTACGTATAAAATGTTTTGTATGTGTAGTAGCAGACAAGGGCGTATCAGGGGTATGAAACAATTGGGAGTATTTTTGACATAATGCTAGGATTTCTTTCTTCTCTTCATTATTCAAATGTTCGAGACGTAGTAGGGAAGTATCTAATGGAACTTTAGGTAAAGAGGGTGAATCAATTATTCCATAATCGTTCAAATTGTGGACCTCTATAGGATGGTCAAATGTAACATTTGCTGGCAAATCAGGCCAATAAATATGTCCATTTTGTACTTTATGTATTGATAGGGGGATATTGAAGTCGGCTGATGTAGGCACTACAGCATATCCGGATATTTGTGTGACAGGTATTAAATTATTTTTTGTATTTTGGAGACTAAAGGGCAAGGTTTTATTGAAAAGGGTAATTATTTGCTGTTCATAATTTAGAGTTGCACCAAAATGTTTTAGATCTCGGGACCCTAAAAGAACATCATATTTGTCGTGCCATTTTAGTATG